CATGTCCATCTAGGTTGTGAACAACTATTCTTGTTCGCAAGTGAGTGATAGAGTGATCTTCGGTTCACCCGATGATGACCCACACTATCTAAGTGCAGAACAACAGAACGTAGAACTTGTTTAATCTAACATGATTCTCATTTATAAAAGGTAAATGTGTAATAACATGCAAAGCCAAGCTTTCAGTATATAACACTAACATCCAGAGTCTCGCTAAAGCCCATGCATACATATGAAGCATATCATGAAGATGATGAGACTTGAACTCCTATCCTATCAGCTTAACTCATTTCCAATATAAGAATTTTATATTGGCTTCTTGAAATTTTTCAATGAATTTTGCACCTTTCTCTATGCAGCGGTCAACTTCTACTTTGCAGTGCCCACGGTATAATATCTTAAATGCTGTTAGTGCTTGAAAAGCAGCCGAAGTGCACTCAACGTAGCTGCAAAATGCAGTTCAATTCGAATTTATGATAGATAGAATCTAACCTATAACCAACTCTATCAAGGAACTTATATCCGGAAAATTATACAAGAAAAATTACGAAATGAATCCGCTACATTTACTTTTTGTATTTTTATTCTAGAGTTTGAGAGAAAAAAGAAATAAACCTTTCTACATATATGCTCACCTACACTGATCAAGCGTATACAAATGCTCTTGTTTCTTTCTGTCTACAACTTTACAATAAATTTACGGAAGGCAAATGTAGAGGTCCTTGTCCATAAATCTTCCTACCACACCTAGTTACTCTTACATTATTCCACAAAATTTTATTTATTAAAAGGAAGTAGAATATTCAAGCTGGAGAGAGATAAAATATCAAATCACAGATTTCTAATTCTTTTGATGATTTGTGTTGAAACACATCAAAAGTCTGTTAGTATATATATGTGTAGAAGAAGAGACATCTTATGGATAATCAATGACAATGTCGCCAAAAGTTTCAACAGGGTTTACTAGCTGCGAGAAATGTTCATGTGTGATTTACACCGTATTTATAGTGTCTAGAGCTTATTCATTGCATTATTGGTGTATAAATTACATTATTGTGCTTTAATTCTATATCTTGTTGGAAAGGTATTACACGTGCTTGTTTTGTAGATATTTACACATATTTGTAGAGCTTTTGGCTATTGGAGGCGCATGGTGAGTACCTTGTAACCCCGAGATGATGAAAGATTGATGCACGGATGAAAAAAATAGAAGAAACGAGTGAAACAAGCAAGAAAAGGAGTGTGCAGAGCTGACACGGGCATCATGCCAATGTCAGAGGCCGTGCCACCTCAACAGAGAGATTTCGAAGCCCAAGGACCTGACACGGGCTGCGACACGGTTGGTGACACAGGTAGACTGGCCGTGTCGCGCGCGCAGACTATTTTTTTATATCTTACCTATTTTGAAAAGGAGAAGGATTTTGGACATTATAAAAGACGTATTTACCTTATTTTAAGAGGGGGGAACGTGAGTAACAGGAGGAGGAGCCCTAGAACACAAGAGAGAAGTAATTGGGAAGCAAAAAGAAGATCCAACTACGAAAGAATCAAGAAGATTGAGAGATCGACGAGATTCCTAGTTTTTCTTTCTTCTTTCTTTTGATCTTTTATCTTATCATGTCGATTTCTAATATGTCTATGTATTTGAATTCGAACATGAGTGACTAGATTATTTGATTCTAAGACTTGGTAGTAGATTAATATGTTGGGATTTTAGATGAATTATTATAATTAATTGTTTTTCTTTTAAACCCTATTCACATATTTTGTTCTTATTTCATGTTTAGCACTTGAGCAATGCTTTTACATGTTTAACAATATTGTTCATAATTCGAGAGATGAGTTCAATATTAGGTCTTTAATATTTGACATAATTTACTTGTTTGAATCGAGAGATTAGTAGGTCGTTGTGAGGATGTTAGATCTTTTAATCTATTTGGAGTTGAATTGCATGAGTTAAGTGGAGACGCTAATATATGTGATTTAATATACAATTTTATCGATCTCGAGAGGGACGATAAGCTAAATTTGTGATCATCTTATAGGGTAGATGAAGGAACATTTAGTTGTGATATTTTTGAAGGAACCCAACTGTTAATTGAAACCACAGTCTTAGAATCTATCATTCTCATATATTTTCTTACGTGTTTTTCTAGCTAGTTCTTTATTTTTGTTTTATTTCCTTTGATTTATTCTCTTAGTTTAGCTAATCCATCTCACATTCGGTCGTCTAAATAAAGTTGATACTATTATAATCTAGTATTTGATATATTGTTTATTTGGTCTCTTGGGATACAACCTTGCTTGCCACATACTACGAGCGAAGCCGTACACTTGCGGTCGAGCTTCAAAAATATAGGCGAACAAGAAACACATACATAATCTCATCAAATGTAAATATAAACAAAGTCAAGGAAAAAGTGATCAAAGTTTGGATACAATACACAATTTCAACAAATTAGATTAAATAAGCTTCTTTTAGATTGTAAAAACCACAGTAATGCATGCAACGATGGTTGGACGACCAAATGAGCGAATTGACATAACAAATATGATCAATGACTCCCGTATTTACACATCAGGTACTAGTTAATAACATTGATAAACATGTTTCCACGACTAGAATAAAGTTTTTATCTCCACCCCCTTCTTTAGGACATGGCAATCGGCTTTCCAGTGCCCTCATTTTTTGCACCGGTGGCACTTGACTTTCAAATTCTTCGGACCTCCCTACGCGGCTACGCTTGCCAAAACAGGTATTTTTAGGTCCAATCCAATTACACAAACCAAACAAACCCTCAAGAGGTATTTGTTGTCAGGTAAACGTGACATATACGAAGGTACCTAATGGTAGAATGGCCGTATTACTTTAAAAAAAGTTGAAGTGAAAGGTTTGAACTTATTATAAGTATTATATATCTAGATAGAACAATAAATACTAATGTTACAACAATGAGAATATGTATTAATAGATAAAAAATTAATGAGCTACTAGGCCAGCACAAATAACACAAATAAGTGTAAGAATCAGTATCAATATGGCCATATGCATAAAAAAAAGTGTGGATGCATAGTACAGCTAGTATTTATATATATAATTGCTAGCTAAATTTTAAATTTTACCTTATAAATATTACCTACGTGGCAACTTTCTAACACAAAACCGTTACAATCCAATATTATTATTATTATTATTATTATTATTATTATTATTATTATTATTATTAATCAACTCTATTCCATTAATGATAAAATATTTCTTTGCACTTCTCTTAGGTTAATTAAGACAAAACCCTTTACATTTTATATTAACTGAGTAATAATTATATTTTTTTATTATATCATATAATAGTTATTATTAAAATTAATAATTATATTTTACACTAAGTGATGTATGAAAATAGATAAACAAAAAATTATATTGTAAAAACTTTTTGTTCAAGTTATTTCTTCTAAGATCAATATTATATTTTTTATCTGATTAAGTGATTGTTTTTTTAAATAACTAATTTATTTTAATGTCATAGTAAAATTTCTTAAAATCGCACAATTAATTGGTCATGATCCCTCAAAATTACAAAAATTACATTATTTATTATATTTTATACAATCAATATAGTGATTCATAGGCAATCAAATCATTATGTACTATTTATTTTAACCAAGGCTCAAATTTTAAAATATACTACCATTATCTAACTTATAATATTAATATTATATGCATAAATATAACTTATAATATCTTATGTTTAAAATATAATACCATTATCTGACTTATAATTTTGATATTATATGTATACAAATAACTCATAATACTTTATTTACGTCTCTGCAAATGCACAAGGTCGAATACAATTAGATGTAGAGATGTTAAACGGGCTAGTTCTAGCGGGCTTCAGGCTACACGGTTCGGGTCTAAAAGACCCGGACTTAAACGGACTACCAATAAAGGGACCTAACCCTAACCCTAGCGGGTTTCGCGCTAAACGGGCTATAATAACGATAATAATAATAATAATATATAAAAGAAATTATAAATAAAAATTACAACGACTAGTTAACAATTGTCTTCAACGGCTATTTATTATTTACCACTCTATAATACAACTACACTTCATGTATTAACACACATTACAAACTCTTAAATGACATATTTTTTTCTAAAAAAAAAAATGTTTGAACTATTACTTATAATACCAATTTACTACTTATTTTGTACGTTTTGAAAATTTTCACGATAGTGTATCATACTGCTGAATTTATATTCTATCACTATGTTCTATGTGTTAGGTCTTTGTCTCATGTGTTTTCTATTAGCCTTTTTAATTGGCTTAAATAATTTGGTGTGAAGTAAAATAACGAAATTGTTAATAATTATCTTTCAAAATCATAATAACCTGTTACAACTCATAGTTACATATGACGTAAAATAGCAAAATTGTAATATACAAGAAATCTTGGAGCATATTCCTTACATGCTGCATATATTTACACAGTTCAACCCAAGTTAAACGGGCTAGCCCTAGCGAGTTTCGGGTTAGCTCTATCGGGCTTTAGGCTAAACGGTCCGGGCCTAAAAAGCACTGATTTAAATAGGCTACCAAAAAAGAACCCTAATCCTGTTTTTTTTTCAGGTTAAACAGAACGACCCGTCGGGCCAAGGACCGTTTAATATCTCTAGTTAGATGAGAAGGTACGATATTATTATTAAATCATAATAATAATATATTATTATTATTATTATTATTATTATATATATTATTATTATATATTATTATTATTATTATTATTATTATTATTATTAGGCATCTTTCCACAAATGGAACTAGTTATGACATAGTATGAGTTATGATATGGACTTACAATGATGTGCAACACTAATTAATATTGATAACTAAGGGGCGAGATTATAATTTTAAGAAACTCAAGGGGTCCACGGAACCTCTCTCTGAAATTGACATTCGACCTTTGCCGCTCAAATAATTTCCCAAATATTTCGAAAAATCGTCGCCGCTCAAAACTTTATCCCGTTGCGAAATTTCAAAACTCTTTTCTGCAGGTGAATGCGTAGCCATGGCCAGCTACGAAAACCCTGACGATTGGGAACTAATAACCGACGATGGGTACGTCTACAAGCGCAGGAAGCGCCTGCGCCTCGATCCCGGCGGCACCGCCACTACCTTCTCCGTGCCACCCCTGCCGGATCCAGCGGCGGAGAGGAAGCACCGCCGCGAACGGAAGAAGAAGGCTCTTTCAAAGCTGAGGGATAAGTATTTGATGGAAATCACTCGGTGGGAACTTTTATCGAACACGTTGAAAGAAATGGAGCAAAATGCCCAAACGCAGTCGCTGAAGCAGAATCAAGAGTTGGATCACACGACGACGTCGTTTGGTGCGGCCTCGAGCTCGGAAGATGCTAGTTCGGGTTCGGATTCCACTCGCCGGAGATTAGTTGATGATCTTCTCGCTCAGGTAATAATGCTCTATAATACATTGACAAACGAATGGTTAACACTTCCCCTATTGTAATTGCTTAAAAAATACTGTTTTTTTTTTTTTAATAAATGAAGTTATGATATCAATGCTGTTGTAATGATGGCTAGTCGTTTTGAAGTAACGCCTGAAAGAATGAAAATTTGAAGAAAAGTGAGTTTATTGATTTACTGTCACTTATTTTGAATTTTGTAGGTTGAAGCACAGGAAGCCATAATTGGGGATGTTTCGAGTTTATGTGATATAGCAGAGGCATTATGCAGTGCAGAGGAGGAAAGATTGAAGCAGAAGCTTACCGATTTACCGATTTGGGATCCGACTCCTCAGGAGCTAATGGCTGCATTAGGTAACAATTCTAGTCCTTAAGGAACATCTATCTGACAAAAACAAACAAGGGTAAATGAAAGTAGCAGGTAGGAGAAGCTGTACAATGGCCTCAGTTGTTCAAATTTGTATCTTATGTGTATTCAACTATAGTGGATGAATTTAGTTTTGTGATTCAACCTATTGCATTGTAGAGTTATCTTCTTTTTTCAAAATATCGAAATTGGGGTTGAAATTAGCAGGCTAGTTGATGACTTACCCATGTGTTAGAAAGGGTAACTAATATTTAGATGGGTGATTCTTTTCTTTGTGCTTTGTGGCCTTTAGGGTTTCTGATATATGAGATGGAATGGAAGATGAGGATTTCTTGTGAAGTTATTGTAATTCGAAAGCAAGTTTT